AAAAAAAAAAAATCTTTTTTTTTCTCCTCCCCTGAATCTTTTGCAAACACTAGCGCCTTCTCCTCAAAAGCCCCTCATTTCAGGGGTGCTGAAAACCTCTCCAGCTTTTCTCAGTGGAGGTGTGCCTCTTTTGACATCTCTGCTAAATGGAGGATGCTTTGCCACTCATTTAACAGCTCTGCGACTTTGTTCCTCCTCTGGGAGGCACACAGCCTTTTATCTCCTCATAGCTGGCTGAGAACTTGCTCTCCTCTCTGCTCTGTCCCACCCGTCACAGCGCAGCATTAGCAAGTACATGCCTCTTAGCAGACCACAGAGAAAGAGCCCTGCAGTGCTCTGGCTGGAGCACGAGGCTTAGTCCCCCTGGAGGAAAGATCTTGGCCGCAGGGTGAATAACTGGAGTATGTTGGACATTAGGGCTTTGGCAATTCAAAATGCTGGATTAGGCGTGAATAGTACGGAGGCATTTGCACAAGGTTTTAACAGTAGGGAAATAAAGCTGTTTCCTGTTATTTTAACGATGTACAGTATGTGTTTTCATTTCCTATATCAGTTATATGCAGCCTCTGGAGAGTCAGATTACCTCAGTAATCGATGGATGGATGGATTTGTGCTTTCATGAATGTAAGGCCTTAGTTTAACCACTGAGATCCATGACCGCCATTAGTCGACTCCTTTTATCGGTGTTGGTTTATGCTAACTGATTTCTAAAAGTGCTGTTTTTTCTTTCGTATGTTTTTCAAGGATGACGAGCCAATGACAGCAGGGGCTGATGGCAGAGATCACACCCGTATTCGGAAGTTCCTCAGCCAGCACACCAAGAAATTACCCTGGAAACCAGAGGTAGTACAAATAATTTGCCGTCCTTTTTACTTGATGTGATTTCTCCTGATGCGTATATCACTCATTCATCTTCCATTTAAAGCCTTTCTTGCATCTCGCAGACAGAGCTATTGTGATTCCTCGGTTGTTTTGCTGTTTGTGTAATTAATCCACTCAATTTGGCAAGGCCACTTAGTGTGGATATCTTCTCCTCATTTTCTATCAGTTGTCCTTTCAACTGCAGTTGGTATTTGAGGTCAAACAGAGATCCAGCCAATTTCTGGCGGCATTATTGAAACATCAAACTGCAATTTATCATTATTAGGATAAATTATTGTGTCAGGATGAAAATATTAGATCCAAAATAATGATTACATTTCAAGCCATGCATGACTGGAGTGATGTGATTTTGCTGTCTTTTGTGTGTAGTTGACACACCTGCTGTAACAACAGGAGCAGCAGACAGGCGTATTAAGCAGTGGATTATTGATAGAGAAAGCAGCTGTGGAAGTGTAATCTGTTCAGCAGGGTTTAATTATAGCTTTGTGCATGTATGTATGTGTGTCTGTAGCCTGGGACATGTGATGAATTAGTCATTTTCCACGTGGGGTAAAGTTTAACTACAAAGTCTTTGCTTCAAACCAGCATGATCCAGCACACAGTGGACAGTTCACGTAGCAAGAAGTCAGAGTAAAAGGCAGAGCCTTTTACTCTGACTTCTTGCTGCTTCCATAAAGCTTTATGCATGTAATCTTTTGTCCAAGGCAAGATTAGAGGAGTGCTGAGTGCAGTATGGGCCTAATATTGTTATAGTAACTGCATTATTTCAGCAGACTCTCCTGAGCTGGTCGGCAGCTTATCTTTGCCGTCACGACTTCTCTCAGCAACAAAACAGCCAAACACTCTCATTTGGCTTTTAAAGCAGTCATATGTGGATGATGTCTGCTTTTCTGATTTAATATGCCCTGCAAACATCTGTTGTCTGAATAGCGAGGGGCTGCATCTAAATGTGGTGATGGTTTTGGCATAATTTAAAACGGTGCTACTTAGAAAATGAGGAGTCACATTGATATGAAACAGCCAAGCTAGGACCACAGCCAAGTAGGCAGTCTGATACTGGACCGTGTAGACTAATTGCACAAATCTAAATAGATTTCAAGGGTTGATCATAGCAAGAAGCTTTATTATGTTTATTTTTTTTCC